CTCGCCCCGTCTCGATGCCTCTGCCCGAACCAACGCTGCCCCCGCCTGCGCCCGTCAGCCGCGCCACGCTGCCGCCGCTCCCGACTTCGCAGGCTACCCTGCCCGCCGAGATGTCGTCGGATGCCACGATCCCCATCTCTGATCCCGCCGGACCCGAAGACGGCGCCGACAAGGGCCCAGAGTCGGAGGCGCAGTTTGAGCGTCACCTGTACTCACCCATGCCTGCCGCCATGCACTCGTCCCCTCCTGTCCCTCGCCATATGGGCTCACAAAGCCGCACGCCGCCTCCCGCAGCGCGTGTTCTGGCTACATCGTCGATCAACCGCTCACACAAGCGCAAGTTTGCTTCCATGGACGACAGTGGCTACATCTCTTCTCTCGAGTCTTCCGCCATGAGGTCCACGAAACCCGGCCTGCTGACATCTGAGGCTGACCGCCCTCGCTCAAAGCGTGGCCGCACCAGCCGTGAGGGTCGCGCCGAGACGGAAATCGCCAGGCTCCGCGCTTCTTCCTACGACAGCCCCAGCAAGGGACGCTCGTACAACGCTCTCCCTCCTCCTTCTTCATCGCCCTTCCGCTCCACCGAGGGACAGATGCTCCCGCCTCTGACACCCGCCATGAAGCTGAAGGCTCCGCAACGTGCGCCGCCCTCAGCCTCGCCGAACACCAACCTGCAGATTCACCGTGACCAGGTCCGTGCCATGTTGCAATCACCGCTACGCAAGATGACAGGCGCCGGCGATGAGAGCACGCCTTGGAGTCCCGCTTTCAATCTCGAGCACTCGTTGTACGACTTCAACAGCATGAACTATCCTGACCTCGACATCTGGCAGGACCTGGACGAAGGCATGTTTGCCGGTGCAGCCGCCTATGAGTCGCCCTGTAAGAAGTCGACTAAGCGCCCCCGCATTGAGCGTACCCAGTCGGCGAGTGCTCTGGCCGATCTGACCAGTGCGCCCAACGGCGCCGCGGTGACTTCGACACCTTTCCTCAAGGGATCCGAAGCCATCACCTGGGAAACGCCAAGCAAGGTGTTCATGGGACTTGACTCGTCACCCTCTAAGCCTTACAGCATGCAGTCGCCCAGCAAGCGCGCCTCCCCGCCTAAGATGGGCTCCCTTTACGATATGCCTCCCGATGGCTTCTTCCCTAACATTCTTGACGACCCCAGCTTCCTCATGGAGGACAGCGAAAACTACCCTCTCGACATGTGCCAGGGCTTCCAGAAGATCGGCTCGGGCTCTCAGTCAACAGAGACCAAGGCGCCCGCGAAGCCTGGGCTCCCACGGAGCTACACTACCCGCTTCTAACGAGCGTGTAGAGCCTTATTCTTAAAAACGGTGACGGGAGCTGCGCATTTTGCCCGGCCATCCGCTGGAGAGGGACGCCACTATTTTTTTTTTACGACGCAACGAGACAGACAGCACTCGCGACACCCTCAAAGGATCAAATGCTTCCATGGGGACGGGCAGCAGGGCCGGCCCACACTATTAGAGGGTGCCGGGTGGGCTTCGCGGCTTTCCCTGCTGCCTATGATACTTTCCTTAACTATTCCGAGTAATGACGATAATGACGACCGGAGGAGACGCACAAACACTTGCGTATGGCTCGATGGATGGATTGCATGACGCAGCACGCACGGAAGCACGGAAATTTGATTTTCTTGTATGTTTGATTTTCTTGGGGCCTGTGGAACACTGGGACTGGCTTGTGTCTGGATTGGATGAACGGCTGGCGTTTGCGGTTCCGGCTGGTTTTGCGTTTGGCTTGGCAAGGAAAGGACTCGGATAGGCAACGGTGATAGCATCGCTGGATGTGTACAGCTGCATTCTACGGATGGGGTAGTTTACTTGTCTTACACGTTGACTGATTATTTTGACTACGGTTTTCCCTCTCGTATAGGATTTGGCGCAGGGTGTCCTGTTTTGACTTGATGACGTGATGTGATTTGGACGTCTGCGGGCTTGACATGTCCGCGGTTGACTCGATTCTGATCATTTGACACAGTCTACTAGCGACTTGACATTGGGCAACCTGACTTCCCCCCTTGCTTTCGAAATCGACGCTACACAGCCCCGAGTCCACTCGCACCTCACCCAGCCCGTTGGTGGCACGTCGGACGCCACCGGACGCCTCGCCACCCACGCAGCTCGACGCGAGCATTCAATAGCTTTTCAGCAGCAGCGACCAGTTCCTGCACGGTTCATGCACGTGGGGGAGTGAACGGATGAGTCTCGACTTGCTCTCTCTCTCTCACTCACTCACGCGCGCATACAGTCTCTCTCGGCGTTATGGAAGGGGTATCTTTGTTCAAAGCACGGGCTCAGCACACGGCGTGGCCTCTCTATATAGTGATTGTTTAACCAGTAAAAGGCACGCAACAGCAAAATCGCGCCGCAAGTGACGCCCAACTGCGAACGCCTGTTTCCCGTCGGAATCCGTACAAAAGAAAAAAAAAATCATGTCGAGAGACAAATGGGGGCAGGCCCGTGGCGCATGTCGTGGGGGTCCTTTGGTCATTTTCGAGTGTGTCGATAGTGTCGTCGTTCGGAAGTCGAGTCGGAAACTCGAGAGAAGCAAACGAAACCAGGCGCTCTTGGCCGTGGTCTCGGTTTGCCATCTTTGATGCAGCCTTGGTGCAGCCTTTGGTGCAGCCTTTGAATGCTGGCTTCGGACTGCCTGGACGACATCCACGTCGCGGAGCCTCACGACAAGCACGCCAACCCGCCCGCCCTCAGTAGATGCCCATGCGCGAGGCCCAGCCGCCGCTCTCCTTCTGGTTGACGCTGATCTGGTAGGGAAAGGGATTCGCGCCCTGGGCCGTGATGGGCGGGATGTGGTCCTTGTGGGCGTTGGCGTGCGTGACAATTTTCATGACGGTCGTGAGGAGGGTCTGCTCCATGGCTTTGCGGACTTTTGCGCGTTCTGCTCCAGGGGAAGGGGAGGGAGATTAGCATGACAGCCATCGACGGGCGGCAACTTGCTCCAAGGAACATGCCGAGCGAAGAGGGGCATACCGCTCTCGGTCCGCGGCTCGGCGACGGTGACCCGCACCGTCCACGTCTCCCAGCAGACCTCGTCGTCGCCGCCGCGACCGACGAGCCAGGCCTTGCGGCGGCGGCGCTCGAAGAACTGCACCGTCACTTGGCCGCGGCCGTCGGCCGGGGCGGCGTCGAGGTGGCGCAGGCGCTGGTCGATGAGCGTCTCGAGCTCGACGTCGTCGACGTGCGGCAGCGTCAGGTCGAGCACGTCGCGGGTGCGGGGTGTCAGGGCGGGGAAGAAGCGGTGGAAGAAGATTGTATGTAGGATGCCTTTTTTTTTGTGGTCGTCTCCGGTCAGCGCGATGTACTTGAGAGTGCAAAAGAGTGCAGAAGGGGGGATGCAGGCCGGGGGTTGTTGGTGATAGTTTGAGGTCTACAAAGCAGCGACCAGCAGCAGCAGCGTCATCGGAGCATGACGCGGGGTCCGGTCTAGGAAACGGCGCGAGCGGCAAAAGAAAGCAGACATACCTTTGACAACATCGCGCACTGAGGCCGGGTCGGCGAAGGCGTCTAGCATAAATTCGGGAGGGCTTCGTTGATCCATGGTCGTCGCGTCCAGTCTCTGTGTCGCCGGCGAAGGAGCAGCAGCAGAGGTCGTGACAAAGACGGACATGGCATTGGGCGAGATGATGGGAGGACGGAGCGACGGACAGGCATGTGGGCAGGCGGGCAGGTGGGCAGGTGGGCAGGCGGGCACGGGAAGGGATGAGGGGCGGGCGGGGTGGGGCGGAGGGACGCGATAAGGAATGCAAAGTCGAGATAGAGCGCCCCGAAACCTGCTTACAGCATGGGCAAGTTGCTTACAGCAATACAATGACCTCAGATAGATGCACCTATCGGGTCCCTCCGACCTTCGAGCAACAGCGAAGCTCTAGACCACGCCCATTCGCGTGTGTGTGTATGTACAAGGTGTGCCACGAACAGTAATCCCCTTTCATCAAGAGCAGCTCTCCCAGGACCACATTGCCCTTCATGGATACTTCAATACCCACCCAGATCGCTGAGACGGTCCAGACAGCACACATCAACCGCGCGCCCTCGCCGACGCACGACCTCAATCCCTCGACCGCCGCTTCAGAGAAGCGCCCCGTCGACATTGATCTCGACCTCGACTCGGCGTCCGATGACGGCATCGACAACCTCGAAGATGACATTCCCTACAGCGTTCTTCGCCCGCGACGTCGCTCCCACAACCTCCCGCCCATGCCCGACCTGCGCTTCGAGCAGAGCTACCTCAACAGCCTTGCCAAGGCACAGTCATGGCAGGGCGTGGCATGGATCACGACGAGGGACCAGGTGCGTGGCGCTCACAGGGGGGGGATGCGCAGGGGAGACCAGGCTCGACACTTGCAGCAACTGGTGGGAGCAATGCTGACACCTCAAGTGGATAGGTCTTGATGCCGCTGGTGCAGGGCGTCGTGTACAACCTCTTCCTTCTCGGCTGGCAGAGCTGGAACCGCAACGCACAGATCCATGGGAGCTCCGTCGGGGCGAGGGTGCGTAGGTGGTGGTATGGCGTCAACAAGTGGGCGATTCCCGCCCCGATCAGGAGGTAGGGACTTCATCACAGGCCCAGCATGAAGGGCACACGCTGTCAGGCGGCAGCTGGTACGGCGATAGAGCACGGCCAGTATTTCAGCCAAGGCAAATAAACGGGCAAAGGGCAAAGGGCAAAGGGCAAAAGACTTGTATTCATAGCATGCTACTAAACACCATCGCTCATCGCGGTGTTTTCTCTTCCAAGTCATGAAACCTCTACGCACGCACCCTGCGGCATTGGTCATCGTGATAATATCTGATTCGCCTTCATAGATAGGAGCCATACCCGGGGCGCCTTGAGCTGTAGACCTCGTGAAAACACGGTAAGCCTCATCCGAACCGCCCGTCCTTTCCCCGTAAACGCCGTTCCACGCCTCGGTGAACAGAAAGCTCACATTCTTCAGAGAGCCGAGCCATCATTCACAGGCTCTTCTCCGGGCTTCCCCTAAAAGCCAGGGATGTGGGACCTGGCAGAGCCACAATCTCAGGTTCCGGTGTGCGTTCCGTCTGCAGGCTCTTCGGGGTCGGGACCTTCTGGTCATCGGGCTTCTCATGTCGAACTTCTTCCTTGCCTTCGGGAGAAGGCGTCAGATTTGTCGCCGTTGCGCCATCTTTAGGGTTTGGTCGCTTGACCTTGAGCTCCACTATTAGCTCCTGTCGCGGCCGGTCTTCGAGATCATCTTCCACCATGGCCTCGTCCTCGTCGACATGGTCATCGTCGTCCTCTTCGCTTTCCTCTGGCTGATGGTCATCTGCCTCTTCCTCGTCGTCGCCAAGGTCAGGCTCGACGAGATCCCCCTCATCATCCGTCTCGTCGGCTGAGTAGCCTCGGGACCTGCTGCCCCGGGCCCTGCCATTACCAGCATAGTTGACTGCCGCCGATCGCCGGGGTCTGCCATTGGCGTTGACGCCGCCGTCTTCCGGATCGTCTCCTTGCACACTAGGCGCGGCACTGCTAGTGCCCTCAGCCTCCAGACGATTCGGCGCCCGTACTTGGCGGCCGCTCGCAGTCGTCAGGGGACCCGCTAGCTCGGTAGGCGTGTGTGTGCCGGTGTTACGAGTCGATCGGCGCGTAGAGTCGGTGAAAGAGCCATCCTCCTCGTCCGAGTAAGTGTACTTGACGCGCTTGCCACGTGTGCGCCCCTCGTACAGAGAGAAGCCAGGTGAAGGCCGCTTGAAACGATTCCTCTGCGCCTGGCGGTATTCGCGTCTACGGCGTTTCTGGTTCTCGTCAGCAGCCGAAAAAGAGACGGCCGGGCCTTGCTTGGTAGCTTACCTCTTCTGTAGCCTCGAACCTGGGAACGGCCGCAAGCATCTGTTGCGCAAGCTTCTTGGCTTTTGGGCCACCATCCTTCGTCTGTAGCTTCTCGGCCAGTGCGCTCAGCTCTTCGATTGACCCGGCAACAGAGATCCAAACCCGGTTGAAGCTTGCAGGGTTGCCCTCGCGATAGACTCGGAAGGCCGTGTCATCCAGGCCCTCGACCAGAAAGTAGCGTCTCTTGTCACTATCAGAGCCCCATGGCTGGACGGAGAGTGGCTGGTTCATGTCGTCTTCGTGACGATTCTGTTTGTAAGACTTGGTTATGATGGCCTTGACAGCGTCGGAGGCGGAGAGAGACCAGAGGATCAGAGCGCGAAGTATCTTGAGCTAGTGGAGCACGGTATCAGCATCGAGTTGCATAGAGGGAGGGCTCATTATACATACCCTCTGCACATTGTTCATGTCGTTGAAGGTGACGCCGCCAGACAACGGGCTCTTGCCTTCCCATGCTCGAGGCCACTGGTTCTTGTGGCTACTGATAGCATCCTCCAACGCGCGCATGTAGTGGCCGGGCCTATGACCTGATTAGTGATATTGAAGGGTACCGACTGGGGCAGGTGGCATACTTGACATCCTGCTTGCGGTTGAGTAGCAGTCCCAGCACGGCGCACAGGAAGTTTTCAACCCGCTGGCCAGGCGGGCTGTCGCTGATGTCAGTCTCGAGTTCTTGGGGGCCAAAGTTGGCAAGCGACTTGGGCATGGCTTCGTTGAATCGGCTTCGGAACATGACAATGAACTGGGAGCGCAATCGCGAATCAGCTACGTGACCTCGGGACGTTTGCGCACGCGCATGTTGTCGCGTCCATCGCGATAAGACATGCGACGCGCTGAATACATACAGCAATATCAGGGTTGTCGGCCAGGACGAATTCATGCGGAGGTGATGGCGATCGTTTACGGGGAGGTGGCGATGCTTCCTTCTTTGTCGTCGCTTTTTTGCCCTTCGCAGCCTTCGGGAAGAACTTCTGAATGCCTTTCTTGGGCGGCGAGGGAGGGTTGTCGGACTCCATGTCAGAAGGGGCTGGAGACAGCGAAGACAAAGATGAAAGGTCGGAAGAATCGTCCGCCATTTTGGCAGCGGTCAATTCTGATCCTGGCGCGTGGAAAGAGGTGGTGGTAGGAGGGCACTTTCAGGTGATGGTGGAAGGAACGCGTTCGACGTGTCGGAGGAAGGTGCAACTTAAGAGGTACCCAGCAGGTAGGCGTGGTGACGGGAGGTGGAGCTTGGGGGGGTAAGGGTAGGGGACGTGGTGATGGAGGTGCGAGGTCTCGGCCAGCCAGCCACCAGCCAATGCGACAACTACATGACCATGGCCCAGTTGAGCCGCACAGCCCAGGCAAGAAGCTGAGTGACCATAGCGCAGATGAGCGGCCTTCATCTAGCTGCTTTCCTGATGATGCATGTTAGGTTATCGCGAATTTGGGATCCAACAGTATCCATGCGCTGACTGGTTGAACGATGGGGCTACAGAAAGGCGATACCCCACCCAGGTCCTACGCACGAAGTTGAGCGACCACGTCTGGGTGAGTGGGGCACATGGGCAAGAAGTGGCCCAGGTCACGTGGGCGGCACTGGCCCGTTTGGTTGCCCACAACTCTCTGAGAAAAATCGCTACCTTTGACCGAAATACCCTAACCTCCGTCCATCACCAACTCATTCCGCCGCACAGGAAGTCAAGATGGGTCGCGTCGTAAGTGCCGCCTCGATTCGCAACAACATGGCCATTGGTATTCGAGTCGCTGGATTGTTCTCGGGGGACGACGACGAATTTCGACCGCCAGACCTCGACAGCGCCTCGACTCGAATATTTTGTGGCCATGAAGCTGCAACTTCAACACAGGGGGATAATGGGCGCTGACACAACCCTCCACAGATCCGCAACCAGAGAAAGGGCCGCGGCTCGATCTTCACGGCCAACACCCGCCTCAACAAGGTGAGAAGCGACCCGGTTTCCCCTGCCCCGCGAAAACGGGACGGGGACGAAAACTTTCCCCCCCTCCAACGAGGACGAAATTTCCTAACTTCCATCATCACAGGCCCCGGCCAAGTTCCGAACTCTCGACTACGCCGAGCGCAATGGCTACCTCCGCGGAATCGTGAAGGAGATCATCCACGACCCCGGTCGTGGTGCTCCCCTCGCCAAGGTCACCTTCAAGGATCCCTACAAGTTCAAGCAGCACACCGAGACCTTCATCGCCAACGAGGGCATGTACACCGGCCAGTTCGTCTACGCCGGCAAGAACGCTGCCCTGACCGTCGGCAACATCCTGCCCCTGAGCTCCATGCCCGAGGGTACCGTCATCTCCAACGTCGAGGAGAAGATTGGTGACCGTGGCACCCTTGCCCGCACCTCCGGCAACTACATCACCATCATCGGCCACAACCCCGATGAGGGCAAGACCCGCATCAAGCTTCCCTCTGGTGCCAAGAAGGTCGTCCACAGCCGCTCCCGTGGCATGATCGGCATTGTTGCCGGTGGTGGCCGTACTGACAAGCCTCTCCTGAGTATGTTCTTTTTCTGCCTGGCGCTGTGAGGGCCATTATTGCACGAGAAGCGCAGATTTGCTAATTCCTTCTACAGAGGCTTCGCGTGCCAAGCACAAGTTCGCTGTCAAGCGCAACTCGTGGCCCAAGACTCGTGGTGTTGCCATGAACCCCGTCGACCATCCCCACGGTGGTGTAAGTAGCAGCGACCGCTTTACGCTCGGGACAGAAGACGCTGACACAAAACACAGGGTAACCACCAACATATCGGCAAGGCCTCCACCATCTCTCGTTACGCTGTCGCTGGTCAGAAGGCTGGTCTCATCGCCGCCAGGAGGACGGGTCTGCTCCGTGGTACCCAGAAGGTCAAGGATTAAAAAGCTGGCTAGGATGGTATCCATGGTTCCATTGGGATGGTGTTACGCGGTTGGCATCTTTCGAGGTACTCGCGAGGGCAAAAAAACTCGTAGCTCTGGTGGCAAGTACCATGACATTTCACGCATTAAGAAACCATGCCCCGGATGTCAGCGATGTGTGTCGGATACCCCGCGAATACAAATGTTCACGACCCAAGGAAGTGATGCATAAGGGGGGACGCCTTTGATATGTGTGACTGGAATATGCGACGAAGGGTCACCTTCTCCCAATGACACACTTTCTGTTCATTGGCGCCACCCAGGTCCTGGCCGGGCTCAACAGCGCTCGGTACACTTTTTTTTCTCTCGCACATTGGATTTGAGGGTCGGGACATCCACCATGAGCAACATCCGCGCCTCCCTAGGCGGCGTGGGTCGCCAGTCCCTACAATGTCGTAGGATTTACCCAATGCAGGCCATTTTACGATGCGGCCAGTTACGGGATCTGCCACGAGGGAACGTTTGGAGTCTCGCAAGGAAGGGTTGATCGTTCGGCGTTCAGCGTCGCTTGTTGGAGCAACGCTTATTTGAGACGATTGACTATGGAGATACAGTCTCCGAGAGACACTTGGGCGATATTCAAGAGATCGAAATTGAGGGCGTCACGTCACCCATGTCCCAAGCCAACCAGACTCGACATCCATTTGGTTCTGGTATTCGCACAGCCCTACACTTGACACGCATCATTCCTTGCCCTTTGTTGATGTGTGGTCCACAGGCAACCTGAAGATGGATAGATCTTGCGCATGGGCTTCCGAGGTGCCAACGCTGGACTCATTCGTCTTCACTTGCCCGATTTATCATTGGTGAGCCTGTCGTCGTGTAAATTGTGATTTCCACGCCCACCGAGGCTATGAAACAAGCACATCAGGTAATGCGACTTAGGTGTGCTGTTGAGGATTCATGTCATTGTATTGTCTTCATTGGACCTGTTATCTTTGCAAACTACTTCTTGCGATGCAAAACATTCCTGACCGAGCCACGCAGGCCGCACAAGAGACACTTCCGGCTCGTACGTAACACATCCTCAGTCGCGCTGCTTGCTCGACGCGGGCGAGGTCCATTATGCCCGTCAGCTTACTGCAATCTGACCTGTGATCTGGTCTGGTTGGTCTGGAGTGAAACCGGGGACAGGAGTCGAAGAATGTCTGACACGCGAGTGCCGACAAACAATTCACTGCGCAACCGTCCTGAATACTGCGAGCATAGCGTAAGCAAAGTTGAGATCGTCGGTAGCTTGGGATAGCAAAAGTTGCTCCCAGCCAAGCTATCAGCGACGATGCGCTTTCCATGACGCGCATGCTAGTGGGCAGCAAGCGATCGAAGCACTTGCCGTGACACGGCCAAAGGAAAGCACATCAAACCTGACTTCATGAGATACCTTAGACACTCAGTCTCGCGCTGTTGAATCTGAAAAATAATGTGACTTCTGCGGAGTCTTAAAAAAGTAGCGAGATGGGAGACGCCGATTGCCGGGTGGGGACCGACTCGCTGCCACGACCGGAATCTCCCCTGAAAAAGTCACTCTGTTGTTGAATGGTCAGGGGTGGGCCGGCAAAGAAAAGCTGCCCCACGTAGGGACCAGCGACCCCTCGATGTTTGAGGGATTCTACACCCCACCTCCAAGTTTCCCTCTGACAACCCCGCCATCACCATCAACATCAGCAAAATTTCTCCCCGCCCCTCCAACCCCCCAAAATTCAGATACCAGTCATCGCCATGGCCGCCACGAAGGAATACAGCCTCCTCGTCCTGGAGAACCCTCTCCTCGGTATGACCGACACCCATGGCCGAAAGATCCTTGACAAAGCTACGAGCTAACCCCTCACCGTCAGATATCCAGGCCGTTGGCAACCAAGAGCTCCTTGACAAGTACAAGCTCAAGGCCAACGATGCTATCCTCGCGTCTGAGGAGCACCTCAGCATCTACGAGGACCTTCTTACCAACTACGACGCCAAGCTGATTGCCGGCGGCGCTGCCCAGAACTCCGCTCGCGGTGCCCAGTACCTCCTGCCCCCCAACTCGGTCGTCTACCTCGGCGGCGTCGGCGATGACAAGTACGCCGCTATCCTCCACGACGCCGTCAAGGCTGCCGGCCTCCGCGTCGAGTACCGCGTCGACTCCAAGACCCCCACCGGCCGCTGTGGTGTCGTCATCACCGGCCACAACCGCTCCATGTGCACCGAGCTCGGCGCCGCCAACACGTACGCCATGGACCACATTGACCGCCCCGAGATCTGGCAGCTCGCCCAGAACGCGGACATCTTCTACGTCGGTGGCTACCACTTCACCGTCTGCCCTCCCGCCATCATGAAGCTGGCCCGCGAGGCCGCCGCCAACGACAAGGCCTTTGTCCTCTCCCTGTCCGCCCCCTTCATCTGCCAGTTCTTCAAGGAGCCCCTCGACGCCACCGTCCCCTACTGCGATTACATCATCGGCAACGAGACCGAGGCCGCCGCCTTCGCCGAGTCTCACGGCCTCCAGTCCGCCGACCTCAAGGCCCTCGCCCGCGAGGTCGCCAACCTGCCCAAGGAGAACACCAAGCGCAAGCGCGTCGTCATCTTCACCCAGGGCACCGAGCCCACCTTTGTCGCCGTCCAGGGCGAGGATGAGGTCAAGGAGTACCCTGTCAAGGCCATTGAGAAGGAGAAAATCAACGACACCAACGGCGCCGGTGACGCCTTTGCCGGCGGCTTCCTCGCCGGCCTCGTCGAGAAGAAGTCCCTCGCCGAGAGCGTCGACCGCGGCCAGTGGCTCGCCAAGCTGTCCATCCAGGAGCTCGGCCCCTCGTACGTTCCCCTCCGACCCTCCGACCCTCTGGTCCCGTCCATCTCGTCCTCTGCAGACAGAGCTAATTTTCTATCCTACTAGGTACCCCTTCCCCAAGCAGACCTACGAGTCTTCTTAGATTGGTCTAGAATCGATTGGGAGCATGGCGACTTCTGAACCTCCCCAGCTCGCAGCAGAGCAGGGCTAGGTTCCGGGATAGGGCGAGGCGTTGCAGGTTTCACAGGGAAAAACAGGTTTCAACAACAGGCGTTTTAGCAACACCCCATGGAAGAGGGTTGGTTCACCCACCATTTAGCGAGAACGGCGAGCGTTCTTATTTTTTGCATCAACTTGCAAGCAAGAAAAAAATTCCCCGGCCCCCACGCCCTAGATCTGAATGATGATAAACGTCACAGAGTGCGGGGCCAAAATGTTCTCAACCAATTTGTCTTTTCGGTTTTTCATTTTCCCCATCATCTACGGACAGACTCGTTGAACAGGCATCTAGCTAAGAGGCTGCGTTCGTCTCTCCTAGGAAGAGAGGCGAGCAGCCCAAGACAGCTTCAGCTGCTCTCATCAACGTAACCCCCCCGCGTCTCGTGCATCGTGAACGTAATGATCCGTACAAGTGGTGCTCCAACTCGCCCCCACAGTTTTCCAGACACTTTTGGATGCTGCGCCGATTCAACCTAGAGATTATGGGTTAGGACATCAATGACCAATGCAGAACGCGTGTGCCACTTACAGCTCCAAATAACACCCACAAGCTTACGGTGCCCCCCACCACCTCTGACCACTGGCAAGAAAATAATACCTGTTGAGTGAGACAAAGGGGGGGAGGTTGTTTGATAGCAGAAACTCCCTTCTACCGGTGAGTTGGGCCCGACTCTTTCTCGCCTGTGTCGTTGCGCACTTCGGCACCCTACAACACTGCGAACAAAAAAAAAGCCAGGGCCACATTAAGGGCAGGGGTCGAGTGATTTCCCAATGGAAGAACTGCGCTTGAACACTTTCAGAAGAATGCACTGAACTGAAACAGGCAGAAGCATAATGGCGAAAAGCATGCAGCAACTAAGAAGGCCAGCTGCGAGACGACCTAGCGAGCGCGACGTTGGCCTTCTTCGTCGTCGCCGCCTTTTCGCGCAGCCTGAAGGACCATCTGGTCGTAGGTGCCAGCGTAGGCGTCTGTCTCGTTGGCGCTGCTCCTGATCAGGTTTTTGTAGTGGGTCGGATCATCCGTGCCCTGGAGGCTGCCGCGGCCAAAGGCCGTGAGGGGGCCGAACTTGGGATCCCAGTTGTAGGGTGTGCTCTGGAAGAGGCTGCTGGCTTGCGAGAATGCCATGCTCGATCCAGGAAAGTGTCCTTCGTGCGAGAAGAACTGCTGCTCCTGCTTGTTGTGGTTGTCGTCATTGGCGAGGGTTGAGCGCGAACCACCGTAGCCATGAGAGTGTGACATGGAACGGCCGCCTTGGCTTCCGTGACCGTTGGTCGGCGGCAAGGCGCGAGGCCAAGCGTCAGCGCCGGCGACCGTGTAATCTTGGCTGGCCGAGCGAGACGTGGCCTTGGGAACATCGAAGGCTTGGAGCAGGCGGGCGCGGTGGGCTGCGAGACCAACGTCGGGCGACAGGGGGCCGTATTGCGGATATTGGTCTGCAAGGCTGTGGACTCTGCCGCTGCCGGCCTGGTGTCCCTGGAGGTTCATGTCGTTGAATGCACCGCCAAAATCTTGACCGTGGTTGGCAAGAGCAGGAGTGGAAAATACATCCGGGCGCGCAAGCTCCGCAGATCTCGTGTTAGGGGTAGGCTGATAGACCATGCTCCAGGGCAGAGCAGGAAAGGCGCTGGCACTTGCAGCGCCGAAAGCGGACGGGTCTCTGGGGCGCACCCCGCCAAAGACTTCGTTAGCAGTGGCAGAGTGCATTCCATAGGACGAATCATCGTATTCCTGCTGAGCAGACGCAGTGAAGTTGTCCATGGCTGAGTGAGCATCCGGAGGTTGCATAAAATCGTTTACCATATTCATGACCTCGCTGTTCTCGCTGAAGTCATATTCAGTTGTGTTCATGGTTGCGTTCTTTGGCTGGATGTGCATCGTATTTGGGCCGTAGCGATTGGCACTGACGTGCCCGTTGCGGCCCCTCTCGTACGCTGTATTTGAACCCTTGACTGAATTGCTGCTGGCGTCATTCGGGGCCACCTCAAGCGAAGGCTGGGTGTCACCAGCAGCAGGCCGTCTAACGCTCTCGGGATTCTTGACGTATTCAAATGACTGTGAGGGCTCTTGGACGCCGTACTGCTGAGGAGAGGCTTGAGGCTGCTGCGTGGTCGGAACGTCCTCACCGTAGGTGAAGACAAGTCGATCCTCGTGGAAAGCGAACGGAAGGGCTGGATCCTCGGTCAAGGCATAGCCACAGAGAAGGATATCCAGCATACGGGCAAGGCCAGCCTCCCAGCCTTCCAAGAGTTTGCCATCGTAGTAGTCACATAGGGGCTTCACCACGTTGAGCTCCTGGTTGAATGATAAACGGCATCTCGGTTCAAGTGTCGGATCGTTGAGGGGGAGAAGGCCAATGGCCATGTGGTCTTCCGGAAGCATGTGGGGTGCAAGGCTCAAGCCGTCGCCGCCGTGCAGCTCAGCGATGAGGCTAAGGCATTCAGCCAGCAGCTTCCCGACTTGCTCAACGGGCACATTCGGTGAGGCTATGCCAACTTCAGCACGACAGGCAACGAGCCAAGATGTGTATAGGCGCACGAGCGGCAGGATCACAAGCTCTGTGGGAGTCGACTGGGGCCGCGCGCTGTTGTTGTCCGACGAATCCTTGCCGGCATGTGTGTCCTCCCAGTCGATGCGCTCAACCTTCAAGGTCTCCAGCTCTGTCTTGAAGATGTTCAAAATAGTGCCAAAGAAGAGGAAGTTGAGGCGCAAGATAGTCTTCGGGTAGAGTGAGGCCTCGTTTTCTAGGCTCGTGTAAGCATTCACACTCGCGAGTGTCACTGGATCTTTCAACCTACCCTTGACCGACTGTGTAGCCACATAGTAAGCGGCCATATTGATAAGTACCATCTTCAGAAGCATCGCGCTTGCGTCAGGATCTCTAATCGCGGCATCGAGGCGATGGATGACCTCAGCCTCCAGCTCGCGCTGCTGGGGGAAAGGCTCTCCACGGTAACAATAGGCATGAAGCCTGAGGAACCACATCATGAGAGGATCGTAAGGGCCGGATTGTTTGGGCATGCCAGACTTGACAGAGCTGAGGGTTGCCTTAAACTGGAGCTCGAGGTTGTTGGTAGCGCGTGGATGGGGTTCTTCGATAGCGAGAGACCGGAAAAAGTGGTAGACAATGTCAAAGTCACGCTTCTCATCCAGGTATATGATGGCCATCTGGTGGTGAGCGTGGCCCACGGTCGGCTTAAGATCGTGAGCAAGTTCGTAATAAGTCAAAGCCAGATGGTTACTGGGCTTCTTGTTGTGGCGGACCTGGAGTCGGTACCGAACCAGATCGCCTAGGCGGATGAGAGTCATGTAGCAAGAATGGAGGGCCATGAGACGGATCGATGACGGGACATCATTGGTGCAGTCCTTCCCGCCATTGCCGCTGTTTGAGTCTTCGGCATCCTTTTGTTCGGAAGAAATGCGTCTAGCAGCCACCTGCAACTCAGGAATGCCGTACCGATTGGCAAGGCGCCGGATGTATTCCTCGTAGAAGCGCTGAGAAAGCTTGAGGAACCGGACGTAGGGCGTCTCGAGCTTGCTCTTAAGCACTGCGAGCTGGGCTGTTCGGACTCGGTTGAGTGAATTGCGATACTCACTGTTGACCAAAACGTGCGCCTGCCAAAGAGTCTCCTCGACATTTTCTTTGGCGGCATAGATGTAGTCCATGAAGAGGGTCTGCACGCAGAGCAGGCGCAAACTTGACAACGTTAGAAAGCTGTCTTTCAAGGCAGTCACTGCGAGGAGAGGGACAAAGAAAACTTACTGAGCAAGGATCTCGGCCAACTTCTCGTACCGTGGAATGTTGCTCACATCCTCCTCACGTCGGAGCTTTGCAACCTGCGAGCTCAGGAGCTTGCGGATCTTCTGAGCTTCACTGTAGTTTAGATGTTAGCCTGGATCCTCCTCTCTAATGCGAATTTGCAAGCCAGGCAACGTTTTGGGGGCCTTACGTCCAAACATCCTCGACATTGGGCATCTGCGGCTGTTGTTGCTCTCCCTCTGTGGATTGCTGCGCCTTTCCAACGTGTTCCGACTTCTTCGCCAATTTCGGGGTCTCGGACGGCTTGGAAGGGGTTGCCTGCGCCTTCTCATTCTGCTTCGCATTTTTCGGTTGCTTTGCCTGGCGCGAGTGCCTCGAGGTCTTGGGTCGATCAGACATGGTGGCAGATTTGTCGTGTGCTACTCGACAAACTTGCGAGGTAGTGGCAATGCGAGAAGAACGCGGGCGTTTCGCGATGAGCAGACTCTGCTTGTGCGATGTGTCGAGACAAGACAGCCGAATGTCTGGTCTTTGTTGTCTTTCTGTATCGGGATCCCCTAGCTTCCAGATCGAAAGCAGTGTTTGATGCGATTGCCGTGTAAGGGGGGGGGATCAAGTGTGATCGCAGCAGGTCGTGTGCTACGCCCTCACTCTACGGAAAGCTGACTTCGTAGTCTCGAGAGTTCCATAACCTCGTTCGTTGGTCTTGGGAGGAGGGCGGTCGGGAAGAGAGTGGTCCGAGGCAACAGCAGGTGATGAGGATGCGACGGCTAGAGGAGAAAACATTGGGCAATGGCAGATAAAGGAATATGCGGCAAAACAGCGCCCAGAGGCACAAGGTTCGGACATTCAAGAACAAAAGCTCTGACAAGAGATGAGCGTGCGCGTGCGTCAGGTGATGCGACAAGGACTCTGGGAGAGGTCGTTGGGAGCAGCTCGCGATGTGTTTCCCAGCGTCGCGGAAACTCAAGAGGCAAAAGACAAAGCTAGGCTCGACTAAATCTCCATTCTGACCCTGATGTTGGATTGCTCTGCCCCTCAGGCACGCAAAGTTCGCCATGGGGCTCGTGCAGAGGCGCTAGGCCATGCTGATCGTCAAGAGGCACTTCGACCACCTTCAACCCCACCACGCTCGTTCGTTTCCGACCTGCATTGCATGCCTGCCAGCCAGGTAGGTTGGGCACCTCCAGTCACGAGGGGCACACCGCTGCTGCTGTGTTTCCTTGAACTTCGCTGTCTCATCTACACGACAACCAGGTAGTAGTAGGATTGACTGTTTGCAACGGCCATCGTTGTTCATTTACTGTTTTTCTGCTTGCACCTGATACACACAATCGCCTACCTTCCCTCCCACACCCCACCATCGCGACGCAGTTGCTGGAACAAGGGCTTGCAGGGTAATCCACCCCACCACAACCACTTGAGGATGAAGCGCTCACGAGAGGCCGAAGACGAGCCCGACTCGGATTGCGCCGTAGTAGACGACCGGGACAGTCCAGAACCAGCTAACACAGGCGAGCTTCCGGCTACCAAGATCACCTACCTAGATCCATTAGACCACAGCATCACCGGCGAAGACGTCATCATGAGGTGCCATCTGCCGGGCCATAAGGATGGCATGGCCTTCAGGTCATACGACGAGTATCAGTCGCACTACCACAAAGCACACACCAACCGCTGCCTAGAATGTCGCAAGAACTTTCCCTCGTCGCATCTTCTGAGCGTGCACATTGAAGAATGCCACGATTCTTTTGTCGCGGTGAAGCGAGAAAGGGGTGAGCACACTGTGAGTTCACCTCTTTCCTTTCACATGTGTTGCACATTGAACACCGAACACCAGCTGACGCGCTCTACAGTTTTCCTGCTTTGTCGAAGGGTGTGAGAGGAAGTGCATGACACACCAGAAGCGAAGGATGCATCTTATCGACAAGCACATGTATCCCAAGAACTTCTTCTTTGCTGTCACGAAAGCAGGCATCGACGGCCGCAGCTCTCTCCTAATCGAGGAAGGCCATCATCGGAGGAGATCGTCTGTGGGCAACCCGAACAACGCAAAATCACTACGGCGAAGGTCAGGTCAGCAGGAGACAACTACGTCACCAGGTGAGGCTGGTCAGTCTACGGCGGCCGGCGCCAAAACAACACAAGCGAAGCCCCAACCGACAACAGGGCACTCTGAACGCCCCGACACCGACATGGAGGATCTGGCAGGGGCCATGTCTTCGTTGCAGTTCATTCCCAACGCTGTCCGGTTTGGGAGAGGGGGAGGCAAGGCAGGCTTCGCGAAGAAGTGAACAACTTGGCGCGTCGGTGGCGAGTCGTCGCGGACGATGGGCTGGAGGGAGAGCGGGTCACGTATCACTGTCATGATTAGCGCCATTGCCTTGATGATCTTGAAGGTCAATTTGAAGGACCACTACCTCTTGCAAATGTCCATTCCTCCATTTCGCCTCGTCTCGGAGGGGGTCCCAAAGCATGCGCCAGTCGCCAAACGCCAACCCAAATAACCCGTGGGGGGAAAATCGAGGTAATCATCGTGTCGTCGCGCCTAATCGCTTGAGGCGCATCCTCGGCACCCGCAGCTGACACACTGAACCTCCTGGTCGTCTTTGAGGGTCGCCTTCGGCACGCGACAAACGCAAGTCGAGTTGAAGTTGGTCTCTTTTGTCTGGACACAGCGGAGGCAGCAGAGCTGGATTCCTCATTAGCGCAAGATCGAGAGTGGTCATCACGTGGTTACCGAGACTAACCTTTTCATATCCTTGCTTCTTCCACTTCGCAATTAACATTGCATCAGCGTATCCGTTCTTGAGAAGCCAGTCGTAGAGCTGCTTGCTGATAGCCTCCTTCTCGTAGTACAAGTCGTAAATGTATCGACTCCGTTGATGCGAGATTTGGAAGATCTCCCATTGCGCCTGATGTTTCGGGCCCGTCGGTGGGGGCTTGTTCTGCGCGTCCTTCATCTTATTCTGGAAAATCAAGAGCTGGTCTTCGAGGTCGCTGAAGCCGTCTGGAGGCGGCTTGCGCTTCGAGGAGTGGCGAATGGGAGGCATGGCGTTGGTTGCTGTTGGACTAGGATAGAGAGATCGCGCAAAAAGATAAAAATCACTTGCGTAACCCAGACGTTGTTGGTCCAGGAACTCAGAAGGTAGTCAGGGAGGTCGTGCGTGAGGCTTTCGTGTCGAGAAAGCTCATGCATTCAAATCAACATGTATAGAGGCGAGAGCACTGGAGGGGCTACGAAGTCTTGATAATCCACTCACGTGATCGAATAGCTGTAATGATGACAAAGGAGAGAACGACTAGGTCCTGACTATGCAACTAAGCAGCTCAGTGCATTCGAGATAAACATGTAAATTTTATATGAAGTTTCGACGCCTACGTGAAAAAATGGGCGCTGATTGAAAATGTCGCTATGAGGCGCATAGTAGATATGGCATGATTTATGCTTGATGCAGAAGCGACCTGTCGCAAGAGTAGGTTATATAGACCAGGCTTGGTGCACGTCCTGCTTGTACTGGGTGTATGTATTTCTCGGGTAAGTACCCGAGCTGCCAAATCCACCGGCAATGAGTGGCTCCTTATTCAGATCACGTGATATATATCCACCCTCAATTCATGCTGAAGCATCCGGTGATGTCGCAGTCCCCAACGACGAACCACCAGAAGCAGTCGATTCATCACAGCATTGGCCGCCCAAAATGGCCATCACACCGACACAATTCGCGCAGAAGACGCGCCAGTGTACGCAGCGTCCCTCAAATTCCGATGCCTCAGCGCTAACATGCCGTGCAGCTGCCAATTGGCCCGAGGCCAAGCGACGAGTGCTTCACTCCTACCGACAATGGATCCGCGCGGTATGACTGCTCCCGATACCCAAGCACGCGTTACAGAGAACTTTCAAGGCTTTTTAAGGAGGAAATGAGGCTGACAATGGTGTTTCCAGGCTCCTGAGGTCCAGACCATGTACAATCTGCCCATGCCTGTGTCGGTTATCCGCACCCGGATGCGTGAGGAGTTTGAGCGCCACCGCTTTGCCAACAAGCTCTCCGTCGTGGATGTGCTGCTGTTCAAGAGCCATGCCGATTACCAGGTGCGTTTTGTATTGGCTTTGAACTTGTCCGATCCTGTGACGCGGAGTCTCCAACGCGGGGATGGTCCATGCGTGCCCTTTCCAACTCTATCATACTGACCATGCTTCCCTGTGCCTAGGAGACGATGAACTTCTGGCGCCAGACCAACCACATCATGTCTTACTTCAAAAACGAGAACTTCAGGGGAGACGACAGGCTACCCAAGAGCTTCATGTCCGGATTCCTCGAGGTGAGCTCGTCTACGCACACGGCCCTTAGGGGGGGGCATCACGAATTGCACAGCTAACCCAGTACGCAGGGCCGCAACTAGCGAGAGGCAGGATGCTGGATGGAGTGAAAGACAGAGGGAGCAGGCGAGGAGCCAGTGCATTGTACATAGTGCCAATAGAAGAAATTACCAAAACACCCCGAGAACGCCCGTCTATGTTCTGTAACCCCACAACGCCGCTTGGCCGTCACGCCCTGTTTTGTTCATCTTGGAGGACTCTTCCTGGTCTTCACGGACTCTGCCTAGTCCTCATGGACTCTTCCTAGACTTCACGTGCTCATGACTCCATCTTGTCGACGGCGAAAGAGTCGCGTTCACGGGTAAACTCATCAGTCATAACGTCGCAAAGCCCTTGCAGATCCTTCAGGCCTTTTGACAACGCGGATACTGCAGTGCCATCTGTGAAAAGTTAGCAGAGGCACACGATGGTGCAGTTGCATGTCGCTTACCGTAGGTCTGGATTCTGATATTCATAAGATCCTCGGAAGGGTGGGGAATGGAGTAGGCGCAGAACTCAACATCGGGGCTTAAAAGGTCAGCATGTGGCAGCGCTTCAAGGTAAAAAGAATCACTGACTTCTTCATAATGATGTATCTCAGGGCGTTGCCAAGGGTGTGTCCCTCAGCCTTGAACTCAAACGAGGCCGCCGTGTCGGTGGAACCCGGGAGCTTTTACAATGTCAGCATGCTCTTTCTTTCTGACCTCGGAACTGGGCTGGCGTTACAATTCGGACGCGCTGCTCAAGCTCCTCTTCGTCCTCCTCGTCCTCCTCGCCCTGCTGCGCATCGTTGGCAAACTCATCCTCCGCCGTGGGCTGGTGAGAGGGAGGGGCGCCGTCCTCCATGGGCACGTCGGCGCTGGTCTCGTCTGTCCTTCCGGGCATGGTGGGGGTATGATGCGAGAGATCTGGGGTATGGAGAGGCGTATATGCGGCGTTGGCGATGAATGCAGGGCTGTGGCTGTAATGAAGCTGACTATCGGCCGTGAGATGCATTTGTCTTGAATTTTTTTGGCGGGGACTTTCCGCCCCAGCCAACGACAGTTTTCGGCGCCAGTGCCCCACATTTCCATCGCAACTCCAAATCGGGAGTTGGCTCAAAGAGTCGGAATGCCTGCATTCTGGAATCGACAATTGGATTTCCCAATTTGTGGTGAATGAAGCTTGGCCAAATGCATCGATCAACCGCTCGATACAACACGCGGCTGGCTGCAAGTGCGGCCAGCCTGTCGCTCGTACACCGAGGAAGCCCTTTGTCATGAGCGATCACCGTACTCCAGCCATGTATGGCTGCAACCATGCCTATCAGAATGAACCTCATGCGCATCGACACCAGAATCCCCTACCACGAATGCATTCTCGAATCTTACAAACCAGCGCCACAACTGACGGTCAAAGCATAATAAGCTCGGAGGACCACTGGTCATCTCCGTCACAACGCACGGCAGTTGAAGGTTCCCCAGAGCAGGCAGGCCGGCCAAGAAGCGCACAGGTTCTACATGGCTCGATCAGAGCTGGGGCTCTGTATCGATACCTCGCACCCTAATGCGGCAATCGATAAAAGCCCACTGGCGCGCGGCAAGGTGCTTGAGCCGCGACGCACGACTCAGGGACTCGAAGGCAGGCCGACGGCGAGTCAACTCAGCCGGAGTTGTGTCCCGTTGAGGACGCTCTTCACACCGAGTCCGACGTGTTAATGCAGCGGAGGGTTATAACATGGTAACTGTAGCCAGGGGTGGCCGCAAAGTTCGCCTGTTGCAAACAGGCACAGCCTTCAAATTGCAATTGGCCCCTTCCCCGACGGACATCGCCGTGACGGGCGCGTGCCTTTTAGCCTGTGGCTTTTGTTTTCGATATCACAAATCGGCATTAACAAGCAGGCCCTGCGCATTGTGGTCGTTGACGGGCGAATATGGATCAAGTCAGTGCTTCACCCTTTATTAGGACCCATGAACAGGATGCTCAGTTGGATGGATGGGGGCCAAGCCAAACGTCCCATGTTGGTTACGTCGGCAACTCGCGGCCGGCGGGGGCCGACGTGTGGACGAAGTGCAGGGCGACACGTCTGGCAAATTTTTTTATGACGATCCTCGTGACCAACAGGTCGTAAGACGAGGGTTTTCGCAAGTGATGACAATGCTTGGAAGCAAAGCTGGCAGCTGGCCAGGTGTGTGAGTCGGGACTCACAGCTGCGACCTAAAGTGATTGGGCAAGGCTGTGCTGGCTGTGTTTCAGAAGCAATGGGCAGTGCTATTGGTCTGACGGCCAATAATGGGGCTGTCCCGATCGGGTTTGTGGCAGCTGATGGGGGTGTGGCCAGGGGGCCATAGGGGCGTTCGCTGGGGCCAAGGGGAATGGCTTGCAGCAAGTTGCAGGTGAGAAACGGTGAGAAGACAGGGATCAGGAATATCACGACTGGGAAGGGGGAGGGGGGGGGGGCGATGGGAGGGGGGTGGTGTAAGAAGCAAAGGATGGAGGGTCACGATGGGAATTTGTCTGTCCTGTCAGCTGGTTGACCGACTTTGCTGTTGCGGTCAGCGCATGCGCGTGACATCCATCGTGGCTTACTTTACTGACTTGCCTTGGTGAATAGGAGAGGCTCGAAAGCATGAGGAGGCAGATCAAGGGCGTCGCACTACGCGCGGCGAAACATGGCACAGCATGGCGTGCGAGACGGTGTTTGGCAACGTCTCCATCTCGTATCGAATTGCGCAAGCTTGCCAGCTGCGGTACTCTGTATGCTTCATCGACGACCGATTCCCAGCGGAGGCGAGCTTCGAGACATGGGTCTTCTTGATGGGCGAGACGTGTCGTTAGATGGTGAATTGAGATGGAGGGGGGATCGTCAGGGACGTTTCGACAAGGCTCACCCTTCACTGTCAGGCGGCCCCTGCAGCATGTGTGCTGGGGCGGGTTGGCGAATTGCGGAGGGAATGAACTTTGGCCATGGGCGAAGGATAGCAACGCTGCAAGGCGAGCAATGTTGGGCACTTGCCACCGCCACAATGGCTCTCGTAGGGCTCGGAGGGGTCCCGAATGTCGCTGTACAGAGTCCTTCAGTGGGCGGTGGTGAGGTCATGCAGCGAGGATCTGGTTTCAACAAGATGAGGATGGGATGATTGCCCTACCCGTCGCGCGTGTGGCTTATCGCGCCTCTTGGTCTGCTGACAGTAAAGATCAGACTGTCGATGAGCACCTGTCTGTTTGACAGCAAGAACAAAGATGGGATCTGGACGCTGGCTGCGACCTGGACATGACACCGACTGTATCAGTGGTGGGAACTTGAACCGGCGGGATATAACACAGCGTGAGGTCAATATTGCTTCTTCCGCACGATGGGAGATTACCAAGGGCCTGTCACGACCACCTGGTTTATGTTGATGCGCACACGTAGCCTTGGGATCGCCACACCCCCCTCGAGCCGAGCAATGGCGGCAGTGAGGCGAGGCAGGCGGAGGGAAACAGGAGGCCAAGTCGGCCTTGGGCCCGCGGTCAAACCGTACAGCGGACCCTCCTTCCCCCTCACGTCAAAGTATCTAACGATCTACGGCCATAGTATCGAGAGCCGTCGTTCCGAATGCCATGGTTCGCGACGGTTCGACGGTTCGTGTGGTTCAGCCGGCTCGTTCACGATAGGCTAGTGCTGATGGATTGGCATGGCGTGGGTGGTTGGCCGTGACAATACGGACCACTCAGGGGACTCACAAGGCTCAGTGGCCAGAGACCACGGCGCTTGAAACAAGCCAGAAAGCGATTCGGGGACCAATGAGGAGGGCCCAGTATGCTGGCCATTCGAGGTCGGTCGGATAGGGGAGAGTTTGCTCCCTCTGTGCATGCAGTCAATGTCGCCTGCAGGGTAACACGTGCGGCAGGAGAGAGGAAGGGCGAAGACAAAGGCACGGCAAAGCAAGCCCCCCATAGCTTTCCTCCTTCGGTCTTATTTTGCCGTCGGAACGTCGAAGGCATCGCGAGTCTAACGCTGTCGGCCGCGCTGACCACCGCCGGCCGGTGGATGGTAGGGGCACAGGCAGTCAAGGCACTCCGGGGTCGAGTTGAGTGCACTGGTCCAGATGGGATCGAGTGTCGCAGATTCGACAGGGGAGCCCAATCAGAAACAACGGGTGCAGCGCTGGTGGCTCGTTAGCATCAATCCCAAACACCCTACGCAGATCCACACCCGGTGGCAGGTCCTGCCTTCCATTACATTCCTCTTTTCAGTCCTGGCCAGCTCCTGCCAGCCAGGACCCCCAAGACAGGCCAGCAGCAGGAGACTCTCAAGAATGGCATGCCATGCCCTGCGAGCCTGCCACGCCGCCATGCCGTGAACACTGTATCACACACTTGACTGGCCCCCCTTTCATCTTTTCGGACAGTGCTACCCCCCTCCCACTTGCCCCCAGCACTCAGAAGCCCACGGAAGGGCCATCCCAGGCTGAACGGCGTGCAGGCAGCTGCAAGGCAATAAAACATCTCCGGGACCCCTCGTTCTCCACGGGCCCCTGGCTCGTCCCCTCTGCCACCTGAGCTGAGCTTCACGGCTGCGTCTGCTTAAACACCCCTCCACCCGCTGTCCGCCCCCTCGCCGCCGACAGGCTTCTCTCTTCTCACCTGTTCTTCTTGCCTTCGAACGACACTACTCGCCTCTTGGGCAAACGCCTCTCCTGTTGTTGACGACCGAGCCTCTTCGGCATTCCCATTAGCAGACACACCAACGACTCGTCGCCAGCGACTCAGAAAGATTCGCTTCTCGCCCCGTCGTGCCCGCTCTCTCGCCCAGCACTGACGCCTAATCAATATAACCGGGCCCCTACCGCATCAGTACACATTCTTACCGGCGGACTAATTTTGGTACACCTGAATTCGACCTGAGCTGTTGCCTCTATCGAACATAGTCTATCGGCGACCACCGACCAGGCCTGAACCGCTGGAGCACGAACTGCAGCATTCCATTCACCCACCCTTGACTACCTTACCTAGACAGACGGCCATCAACTCAGCGCGTGCACCCGCACCGGTTCCGCACTGGTCGAAACTTGAAAGTCAC